GCATGGAGACCAGGATATCCGTCAATATCCAAGCTCCCACGATTCGCAAATGGGCCAACCATTCAAGATGCATGCGATCTCATTTGTCTCGAAACCCGGGAAGGGCTCCCTGCTGGGATGCTACGTCATATGGAAAAAGCCAGACTGGAACCAGGCGAAAAAGTAGAGCTCATAGCGATATCTACCGGGACCATCGGTTCCACCTGTATCGAAGGTGACGAAGAGGACAAGCTGTATAGACTAGTGATGGAGGCATATGTGGGCAGTGGTCCGGTATATGCAAAGACTTCTGATTTCCTAGGTCCGTGTCGCAATTGTGCCCCCATCTCGTGCCACGTCGAGCTAACAGATCTCTAGAAGTCAAGATAGAGATGGAGTCGTATGGTGAAGAAGGCCCAGGTGGACGAGAGTACCACTTCTACAACGTGCTATGGGTTGAGCGCAAGGAAGGAATAGCATACCGGCGTGCAGCAGGACGCGTACCGAAGGCGATATGGGATGCAAATTGTACTCCGCTGACCAAGATCATCCTTGGTTGATCACGGTCGATCGATAGACGAGAATGCATCTCTACTTCGCCTCTACGCCCGCATCACTCTCTTGTGTTTGTAATCAAGTCCCTAGTCGGGTAAGCGGCATTACATGCGCGGAGACGGGTCAGGCAGCTTCACGCTATGAGCATGCGTTTGTAGCTCGAGGAGCTACGGACAGCTGTTGCGCAGCAATCACGTTGACTGCGCCACTAGCTCGAACTTCGGACGAAAATTGACGGTGTCCGTCCCCGGACGACATCACAATTCCACACATGGGGTAATAAGCAACAGGAAACATAAACAGATGTCGTCTGCTATACTCGAGAACGTCCTGTATCGGCCCGACTGCTATTGGTATACAATTCTCTTATACAACAGCCATCAATATGGTCAAGATATTTGCGTAAGCTTTCCCTCGATGTTGGTCGAAAGAGAATCGCTAACCTTTGCGTTAACTCTACAGTATTGGAGTTACTGGCTGGGTTGGTAATGCAAGCGCTCGCGCGATTGCAGCTGCGCACCCCGACTACGAGTGGACGGTCCTCATCCGCAACAAAACAAAAGAAGACAGTGTGAAGCAATACCTGCCCCAAGGAACACTGCTCGTGATCGGAGACTTTGACAGTCACGACGTTATCTCCTCTTCGGCAGCGGCCGCAGACATAGTCATAAACTGGGGCAGTAGCGACCATGAGCCACTGAACAAGTCCATCATCGACGGCATGAAGAAGAACAAATCCACCTGTTACCTCATCCACACCTCAGGCTGCGGTATACTCACCGGTGAAGTTGCCAGAAGCGGAACCTACGGCCAGGCTACCACCAAGATCTACGACGACTGGGACAATGCGAACGACCTCCTCACCCTCCCTCCCGAAGCGCCACACGTGAACATCGATACCATGATTCTAGCGCTTGACCGCGAAGCGCCGCACATCAAAACCATGATCGTCTGCCCACCGATTATATACGGTATGAGCCACGCCCATGACACACAGGAGCGCAGCGCAGCACGGCAATACGTCAATTCCATCCTGGACCGCAAGAAGGGCTTCGCGGTCGGTGACGGCAACGCAATCGTCAATACGCTACACATTACCGATCTGGCGAACTTCTTCGTCAAAGCTACGGAAGCAGCCGCGCAGGGCCGTGGCGCCGCCACGTGGGGAGGCGCGAACTCATACTACTTTGTGGAAAGCGGCGAGATGGTCTGGGGCGAATTTGCGCAAGCTGTTAGCAAAGCGGCGTTCGAGAGAGGGTTGCTGGACACGCCGGATGTAGACTATCTGAGCGCAGAGGAGGCGATGAAGATCGATCCAATTAGCAAGATTGGTTATGGCTCCAGTGCGCGATCTAAGGCTGTTCGCGCTTACAAGACTCTCGGTTGGAAGCCGGAGATGCTGGGGATCTATGAGAATTACCTTTCGAACTGGCGATTCAAGGCGGGCGAACCGCACCTCTTCGTGTAAGAAGCTTTACTTCGTCGAATCTCGTTTGCCACAATAGTCCAGTGTATCGGCTTCGCTGCCGTAGCGTTTGTCACGCGCACGTCCACTTCTTGGCTTTATTGTTCAGTCCTTTCGTTGCGCAAGCGATTAACACGTCCTATGAAGCTGCGGCTAGCTACGTCTCTAGATTGTGAGCAAAATGAAGTGCACAACAAGGAAGCGCGCCATCTTCTTGTTCAATCTGCGTGGGTTCTTCAGGATGTCGATAGCGGTGAATGGATTTTGAGTGTGCAAAAAGAAGGTCAAAAACATACAACAGCGGGGATTCGCTAGTGGTCACCCACCTAACTACTAATCCGCCGGTATCATGCTTGTATATGGCTGAGCGGACGGGAAGCCTAATTTTCATGATCCTATGGTCGTATGTGGGAGAACAAGTGATCTGACTAGCTATAACGGCGTTGATAACGGTCGTCCATGTACACACGAGCGAAGCCGTGTGTGTATGCTTAGATGCTTCTCGGTCATGCGTGGTGTTATCGCGATAGAATTCAGCTGGCCAGCGCAGCACAAGTAAACCATGGCATCGCCTAACACCTGCAGCAAAGATGGAGGATGTGTGTTAGAGGTAGGGTGACCCGTGAACTAACATGTCGGTGCCTGATTCCCCTGATGCACGCTCTGGCCACCAGCATGCGTCGCATCTGCGCTAGTGTGGGGGAAACACTACCTAGGTAATAGCTTGGCGCCCCTCAGCTTACCCAAGGACCTCGTGACACGCCCGCCCGGGCGGCTCTCTTTTTTCTCTATCCTTCGCGCTCGAGCCCGAGGGGTCTTTTCGCGAGGGAACTTTGGTTGTGTATATTGGGGGAGAGATATTCGGTAACGGTGGTTCGCCTCTCAACGAACCTTCCACCTGGACACCTCCACAAGAAAAAGTCCAAACTCACTATCTGCGACTTCGGGACGCTCAACATGCCACACGCAGCAGACTCAGAGGGTCCAAAGCTTACCGCCACCCATTTCGCTGTTCGAGAGGCGCGCAGTCTAGCCAATGAAGCCACGCTTAGCCAATTGACTTCCATGGTGAGCCGCGACTCTGCTGCAGATATTTCTGAAGTCTTGAAGCGAGAGGCAACAGCGTATCCGCGCCTGGTCAATGAGCTCGCCGTAGCGTTTAACTCATCCCCAGTTGATGAGACGCACAACGAAGATCACCGGCCTTCCGTTGCGACTGGGCTACTGGACCTGCCAGTGGATGGTTCCGTCAAAGTCACTCACTCTTTGGACCGATCGGTTCTGGATATGGTACATACAACACCAGAGTGCGACGAAGTTCTCAGCCATATACCCAAAGAAATGGCGGCAGCATTGAACCAGTTGATACGCGGCGGAGAGATCCTTTTTCGGCTCCACGCCACCTTCGTCGTCGAGATCGGGCCGAGCCATGTAGTCAAAGTCGCCCAGTCTCTTGATCCTGATCACATCGATAATATACAATACGTTTCCACACATGTGCCGGAGCTCCCGATCCCCCACTGCCTAGGCGTTTTACGTAGTGACCACAGGACTTATCTGTTCATGTCCCGAGCAACAGGCACTACACTGGAAAGCGTCTGGCCAGATCTCTCCGTTACGCAGAAGACATCCGTACAGGAGCAGCTGAACTCTTTGTTCCGGCGCCTTCGCACTCCTACCGCTGAGGACTCTGGATCCGGTGTACGTCTAGGAAATTTTACGTCGGGGTTATGCAAAGACGTAAGGAGAACTCAACGCACAAGCTCAGCACCTCTACGCACCGAAGCGGAATTCAACGACTTCCTTCTCCAACACCCCAAGAAAACAGTAACGTCATGGGTTAAAATGCTTCGGAGCTCTATGAAGGACGATCATCGCATTGTAATGACTCATGGTGACTTGCACCCCCGAAATATTATGGTGACTCTGGAGGATACCCAGGCTATTCCAGTGCAGGGTGAGGTGATGCCAACCGAACATGAGGTCGTTCGAGTGTCGTCTATCATCGACTGGGAGGCAGCAGGCTGGTATCCAGAGTCTTGGGAATTCGTCAAAGCCGTGAGCATGATCGATCCTCGTGGCCCCTTGAGTGACTGGATTGACTACCTACCCACTGATGCTATCGGATACTTCCCCATGGAATTCTCTATCGACCGTCTGCTCAACCAGTGGCTTGGATGATGAAGGGAATGGCATGCCCTGGAACGCATCGGACTATGGAGCAAGAGATAGGCGGACCCTAACACCTGCATACGGGTCGTCAAGGTGCCGCCTAGCAGGTACATGGTGACGATGGGTACATTGTCCGCGCGTATACCAAGTAACAATGGCTTCAAGCTGTGTCACTTTAATCTTTGTTATAAAAGTGCGAGGGTACTTAGGTAGCTCATGGGAGATGTCGAGGTGCGATGCATCTCGCGCGCAATGCCCACTATAGGCGTTGCCTTCATTTAGTGTCGAAACCGTAGTAGACGCAGGATGAAGGATGTCATATCTATGACGCACGAGCTCGGAGGCGGTGACAGGGGATCCGTAGCAAAACGGAGCGCGTGGGGAAACAACACCAACAGCGAACGCGTGGCAGTCGCACATCATGGCGGACGCGCAACGTGAGAAGTGTAGGAAGCGATCCATGGATCAGAACGTCGATGCTTGCATCCCCCTGATGCACGCTCAGGCCACCAACTCCCGTCGCATCCGCGCTAGTGTGGGGGAAGCGAGATTCGGGTAAGAAGACGGGGCGGAATGCAGTTAGTAGACAGTTTCAAGCTCTTGCATCGAAACATGCTGCCTGCGCGAAGGATTGCTGCTGGGCCTTTTGGCCCCAAGAGTCAAGGCACCTATAACGCAACCCCGGCCGGCTGATCTGGTCGTAACTGCCCAGCGCCAGCCGCACCACATTTTGTCGCAATTTGTTGTCGAGGAGCAAAGTTGCCATAGCTTACCTACAAGACTCAGACCGGCTACACCAGATCTCATTACCTTTTCCGTATCAGCACTCATGGCTCCGACGCTGAGAACCAGGGGCAATGCGCAAGCCTCGAAGACTGTTGCTAGTACTGGAAATAAGAGAAAACGAGGTGGAGCTTCAGCTACACATGCGGATCCGGCGCCAAAGAAACAGAAAGGGAAGAAGACAGCGGATGCTGTTTCCGACAAACAAACAGCGGATGCTGTTTGCGACAACCGAACAGCTTGCCAGAAAGCTGCTGAAGACGAGGCAAAAGCCAAAGAGTTCCGCATCAAGTTCTATCCGGAATTCTACCCACCGCACCCAGGAGATGTCCCTGAAGAACATCAGATAAAGTTCAAGCATATTCAGCAACTGGGCAAGATGAGCTACGAGTCGTATGCGATACAACCTCGACCTGACACCATCGACAAGCCATGGGAGCTCGAGAACAAGAGGCGGGCTAAGCAGATGATCTACTGGGCTGTTCGATCGAGGGATGATCACCAGAACGAGGATAGCTGGAGAATGGAACTTGAGCCCTACGTCTTTAAACGGTTTAAGATCGAAGTTGGATGGTATGATACATTTGATCTACTTCATGTCTCGCACGCTGACCGAAAGTAGCCAAGGATGTCGGAGACGTCTGTGGGAATCTTGCATCCAGGTGGATCCGAAACACAGTAACAGTCGAACGATGTCGCTCGTAGAGCGTCAGAAACGTCGTTCAGGATGCTCGTGTGAGCCATTGGCAAAACAGCATAGCATGTGAGTCGATAGATTCACCAAGCAAGCGAATCACAGCTGATCATGTGATTAGTTTGAGTACAGGACTGACCGATATCTTCACGTATCGTATTGGCGAGCGAAGCCTCATCCAGAACGACCCGGAGAATCGTCATCGAATTAAGAAGCAGCCTGATCGAGTCTACGGACTAAGGACTACCGAAGCTATGGCGGAGAGTTTGCAGCAACTACACATTTCCCACTTGGGAGAGAACACTGCACTCAAATATCTGTCTAAGAGACTGACTATGAGCTGCAATCCAGACGGTGGTGACCAACCCTGCATATACCCTTTCCTAGCGATGGAAGCCAAGAGCCACAAAGGCGATGGCAATTGGAAAGACATCGAGACGCAAACAGCAATACCGATACGAAACCATCTGTACCTACAGCTGCAACTCCAAGATGACCCGGACAACAAGATGAAGGTACCTGGAGGCCCGCTATCTTGGTTTCTTGCGTACAGGGGAGAAGAATGGAAGGTATACGGATGTTACGTCACAAAGTCTAGTCCAGACAGTCTGCCTTCTTACGTAAGTTGATACATGGCTTTTCCAATGGGTTTACTAATATCTCGGCAGAAAGTCATTCTTCTATGGGAGGGGAGTATCACCCGCCACGATGCAGCACTCCAATTGGTTCTCATTATGGACTATATCGTTGATTGGGCGCGTGATATCTACCGGCCCAACATCATTAGACAACTGAAGTCTGTAGTAGACAAAGGTCAGCAGTCATCCTACACAGTCACCGCAGACCCCGATATCCTCTCAAGGACTGGTTATGCAAACTCTCGAATTGGCGATGGACCTTTCGCTGCTACTAGCAGAGCTGAAACCGCTGAGATACATGCGAAACCAGCCTTCGATGCAAAAGACTCCACTATTGTGCCTGCTCTCAAACCTCTCTTTAAGAGCACTGGAGAGCATGTCCATATCAGGGTCTGGGAAAGCGCCATGTACGAGTCACGAGTACGAGGACTGTATATCACCGGAACCGACAACGACGCTAAGAGCCACATCAAGCGAAGGGGCTGGGATAGATTGAGAACGGTTCATGTGAACCGCTGTTGGTTCCTCTTATCAAGTGCCCAGGGAATCAAAACCATCGAACAGGCATGGACCGGGCTCCAAGACACCAAGGACGTCGAAGATCTTCCGCAGCAGAAAATATTGGTTTCGCTTTGTGTGCAATACCACAATGACAGTGAGGGTGCGCCTATACGAGAATTGACGTATATTGCGCTTACCGAGTCAGTCGTCCCGCCCATGTGGGAACTTCAAGAGATACTAGAGCAGAACGAGCTGGTTATTTCCGCCGAAGACCTTGACCTCAAGCTGCGTGAAGCTTGGGCTTCAAGTCCTGAGAGCTACTTTCGGCGTTACGCCAGCGACCAGACTAGCGTGCTTTGTGTCACCGCATCTGAACAAGAAAAATTGGATGGCCGTAACGTCCTCAGCTTCCACAGCGACAGCGAGGTCGCGCCCTGGGCAAGAAGACTGGATGACTTCATCAAGCGCACTTGCGAGAATCCACGAGCGGTACTTCGCAGAACTTACGCACCATGTTTTCGATACACAAAGGCCTATCATTCGCTTACTGTGAAGCCCTATTGTGTCTCAGACCCTACCCAAGACTGTGTTTTCATAAACACCACAGCGATGGCCGCTGGAATATGGGTTTACATCACAAATACAGCATCTGAAGAAGTCAATGCTACATGGGTAATTCGGCATCTTGTACAGATCGTAGCGATCTATTGGGACAGGCAAGTGCAAGATCATAACACATTCTATAAGGTATGGCGATTTCCACACAAGATTCTACTCTGGATTGTGTCAGATCCTCAATGGGATCTGTACGCTGCGATCAAGCCTACTTTGACAATGCCTGGTATGGACAAAGTACACGAACGTCTGACATTACTCCGACGAAGACGTTATGCCAGAATAGCTTTCTTAGATTAGTTTCAGATAGTTACATGTGTACAAATATATTTCGCTATACCTAATAGCTACTTAATCGAAAGACACAGATAGAGAACATTTGCAGCCGGCCTTCAAAGGGAAAGCCAGCACCCATTACATTGGCTGCCTGGTCCATGCCTATGAGATGTCAGCCGTATCCATCTTCACATCCTCAGAACAGCCGACTACACACCTTGTGACTTAATTAGAATGAGGGCGTACACCCTAGAATCCACCGACTAAGAGCGACGCAACCATGGATAGGTAAGCGGTTGCCTTCTCACCGAAGGTTCAACCTTGGTACAACGTCAACGCTAACTCATATCAGCCAACACCAATACGTTGCAACAGCTTCTTCAAATTCCGCGCGCATAATTTGTAGATCACCGACTCGATTTCCTCTTTACTACTTCGACGCCTACCACGACTTCGCCTTACCCCACCAATATACAAACGACCACAGGGTCATCCTCCTGCGCTTCACGCCTTCCGGAGAACACCACAAATACGACTTCGCCATGCTATCGCAAATACGCACCCACATCCAGTCATGGTGGCAACAAACACCTTTACCAGCAGCTGCCGCAACACCTAGGTTCCAGAAATGGCACGGCTTTGACCAAGACCAGTGGATGCCCTTCACCAGCGACAAGACTTCTACACCCGGCAAACACCAATGGGCGGGTTCGATCCGCCTTGTGAGTTGGAATGTAAACGCAGATGCACCGTCACCAAAGTCTCGTATGTCTGCATTACTACGTGCCATAGAGACTGCAGGTGCTGCAGACGTTGTTTTCCTGCAAGAGGTGTCAAGAGAAGGTCTTACAGCACTGCTAGAAGATTCCTGGACACAGCAAAACTGGTACATAAGCGATGTCGATGCCTCCGCGTATGGAACCCAGAAGTTCATCAGCATCACCCTAGTGTTCAAACACTGGGTAGCTACTGATAGTATCAAGCTAGGCGGTATCTGGAGAGTCGCATTACCTAGTCGATTTGGACGCGACGCGCTGTGTTGCGATCTGATCTTTAACTCTTCAAGCAAGCACACTTCCGGTCGAGTGTCCACTCGCATTCGACTCATTAACGTCCACCTGGATTCTTTGCCAATCAATCCGTCGATGAGGCCGCGTCAAGTCTCCACCTGCGCGTCGTATCTCAGCGCAGCAGGTCGCGGGATTATCGCCGGCGACTTCAATTCCATTCTTCCGGAAGATGACGACCTTGTCAGTAACAACGGTCTTGCGGATGCGTGGGCAGAGCTTCATCCGAATGATTCAGGCCATACCTGGGGCGTGTACGGTGAACAGTCTTTCCCACCAAACCGGTTGGACAAGGTTGCTCTGTTTAAACTCAACCCTTCAGCCATGCGCGTCCTGCAAACGAGCGAAATGGAATCCTACGGCGCAGAGACGTCGGCCGATGGAGCGGAATCGGGGTCGGAAGCGCATTTCAGCGATCACTTGGGTCTTTGGTGTGACGTTGGGTGGGCAGAAGACCGACCAAACCAGGATTGATGCGGCGGCTCAACTAGATGTCGAGATGACTGGAGCGTGTTTGCAAATATATCGCGCGTTACAGGCTCGCAACACCGTGCCTAAACCTCCGAAAATAATGTATCCATCGCACCTATGCCTCCGCAACTCGCGACCGTCGGCCGACGGTGGCCCTCCAACACCGCCGACGCCCGTGAAATTTCGGGGTCGGCCGCCCGACATGCGACACCACCGTCAGACCAAGACCTCAACATTGCCCAGACAGGCAATACACGTCGAAAACCATCGAAACCCTTCGGCATTGCGGTGCGACAGGCCCGACAGCCATCGGGGCGCCGGATTTGATGACGATGCGATGCCCCGTCTTGTCTGCGACTAGAAAGACGGGGCGATTTTCCTGGATGTTGCTTGGCGAGACCGGCGGGTTTTGGGATGGGAGGACCGAGACCGAGATCGAGGGCGCGTTGGGGCGGGTTCGACACGTGATCATCGACGGGTGATACGGTCAGTGTCGGCATCGCAGCGCAGCCCTGGATATCTTCGAGGCTGACTTCATTTCGCGATGCTGGAGAACTTTGGAAGCTGGAAGATTGCGCGATGCCGACACCCCAGGCATTGTCGGCTATCGCACGCTAGCCGATAAGACCGCCGACTTCACCGAAGCAGGAGGCCTTTGATCGATGCCGCAACGAGCAACGATCTGGATGTAGTTTTGCGAATATCAAACACGCGGGAGGGGATGAAGATCGCGTGAAAGTCTTCATGAAGAAAATCGGCTTGGATTTTATCTAATCGCCCATGTTTCCATCTTGACGATGCGCGTCGGCACGTGAACACTCGAGACATCGCAGTCCTGCCCTTCTCGCTCAGTAGCCTTCCAAATTACTACATGACTGTCATACAATCCATCTCAAACAGCTTTACTATCGCTATCTCGAGGCCGGAGGCCGTTATAGCTGCTCGTTTCGGTCTGCCTTATCCAATGAGAAGTGAAGCTGACCGATCCGGCTAGACTGAGGTCCCTGCATGCAGGTCAGGTCCCGCAGACGCAGGGTCCAACCGGTCGTCGGCGAGAAGGAAAGTCTGGGGTCTCTTGACACACCTTTGTACTCGCTATCGTCAGATGCTCTACTCGAGCTGTCAAACGACGCGATCTACTAGCCACAGCATAGCCTTCACCAGTACTAACCCCCATATCGATACCAGAAGCAGGCCCAGAGCTGAGCACCACAGCGATCTGACATGCTTGAACCTCCACCGCCTTCTCCACGCGACCTCAGAATAGCCGAACCTCGAGCATGGGCCATGGATCTATCCCCCGGCTCGGCTTCCCATCTTGGATGACACGAACGTGTGGTTGGTCGGATTGGTTGGAAAGCACCGCCTCGCCTCGTCTTATCAGCTAATCCGGGGGACTGCCATGAAGCATATCGGCGTATCTGCACTGAGCCGTCGGCCCAAGCTCCTGGTAAGAGTCAGAAGTGATGAGCATAAAGACGCGGTGATATCCTTCGAGAGCTCTTTTGACCTATCATACTCTGAATGGAAGCTATTTTGGACAGCATCAGCGTGGACTTGAAGTAAAACGATACCAAGAAGGTACGAGCACATCTCCAAGACCTACAATCGGAATTTCCTTTTTGCAAGTAACACACCAAAAGGTGAGTACCAAGTAAACAATAGATCTTGCATACAGCTCCGTTGGAGCCACGACTACAACGCAGGGTCTAGAATCCACACTCCATGTTCCGCGGAAGCACAACCCACGAACGCAAGGGAGATCTACAGGGGAAGAAGCGGTCAGCTAACGTGTATATGTATAGCATCGTTACACAGAACAAGACTATCCAGACAGCCATCGTTTCGTCAGCAAGCATACCCAAGCACAAACACCTATCCAGCCTATTCCCACGAACAATCTGGTGTTAAATTCAAGATGTGCTCATACACATACTCGTGGTATTACTGTAACCACGACTACTACATCTGGTACGCCCTTCACTTGATTCCTTCCCCGTCCCAAGCCCCAACTAACACCTCACGCAGGGCCAACAGCATCGAAGTCTGCTCCTCGCGCCTCCTCTCGGGCTACTCCTACGACGCCTGGTCCATCGACATGTGTTCGAAGATGAAGATCGAATGCGGCGGTTTCTCGAATTACTACTGCACTGATTGTTCGGAAGATGTGGCGTTGGAGTTTGAGTTGGATGAACTGTAGATGGGACCTCGGGAAGATTGGATGGATGCGCTTCATTTTTCCTTTCGGCTTACGGGGAAGACAAGCGGCTATGCAGGGTGAGTGTCCCCAGTGGAGTGGAGTGGATGCGCGGAGCCGGATTACACGTCCGATAGCACATGGCAAGGAGCTGACTTGTCCTGTAGGGCGATTTACACGTTGTGTCCGTCCTGCGCGTAGCGTTGTGATGGCACGCGTGCGCGTTTCGAGTTATTGGTCGGATGAGGCTCACCGCCTTGTTGATGCACGTCCTGTACCGTCAGCCTCGTGCATGCTGCATGCAGCATCAATCCCACGCGGTACTTTCCTTTCCACGTTTGAGGCCAGTGTTGGACGCGCTATACCTTTTCATTACATGATTTGGCTTATCGGCGCACGCAGGCGCATTCACCGGTTTCTAGGCCTTGTTCGAGATGGGATGTTTTGGAGTAGGCGTTCGGGATTATGGGAGACTTTGGTCAACTTGTTGGATACTGTTTGTATAAGCTTATTTACAGCATATACTGCTGATCGCATGCTGTATAGCATTGACCCAGACTTCCGCTTATTCCTGCGTGTGATGTATGCCATCGCGGCCTTACTCTGTCAGACTATCTTCTGCCGTCTTCGGGCTGACACCGTATCCTTCCTCCAGTGTCCGCTTAACCTGCTCAGCTCGCCTCCTTGCGTCAATATACATCATGAACTCCTGGTAGGTCCTTGGCATGACCCTAATGTTCTTCGGTACTGTGAACGTGTAGTTGAACTGCCCTGTCGGCTTGCTGTGGCCATGCTCCACATCCCGCACCTTTGAGTCAATCCTAATCTGCACTCGTGTATATTCGGCTTGATCGTCGACCTTTTCGTCCGGCGCGCCGATCAGCGGCGGGTCTGTGTATACGACTGTAGCCGTGAGGTATAGTATGCTGCCTACAGGCACTGGGTTTTGGAAGGTGGAAGGATCGAGGGAGACGAAGGTCGGGCGCGCGTGTGCGAAGGCTGCGGCAGCAGTGAAAGCGAGTTCGAAGGTCTGCTTGAGGAGGAAGCCACCGAAGATCATGAAGTGATGGCGATTGCGGTATTGCGGTTGCATGATTGTAGCGGTCTGGAGACGCGTCGCATCCATAAAGACAACGTTATCGGGTTTGCGTAAGTCATCGTAGGGGTCTGCGATTGTTAGTTGGGTGACGAGTAGTGGTAACGATAGGACTGACCATGATACTGCAACTGCTTTTGCCAGAAGGCATGTATGAGGTCGCTTTCGAGGTCGTTCGGCGTATGCTTTAGCAAAGAGGTATCTCGGCGCTCCTTTCGCACTTTCGAGTTACGCTCGCCTAGAGCATACAGGCGTTTCTCTTCGGGCGTCTCGACGATTAGAGGGTTGACGTTTACGGGCCTAGAGATCAGTTAGCTGCCGGGATGCTTACCCACTATATTGATCTTTACTTCTTGGTGCCTGGATCTAAAGAGACCATGGTGAAGGTGCAGTTGATCAAGACATCCTCGTCTTTGGCCTGCTCGCCCTTCTTGGGTGCTTTGGCAACCTGCATCGTGATCTCCAGACTGCTTCTGCCAGTCGCATAGGTCACGCGGCCAGATAGTTCTAGATCACATATCTCCGTCAGTGGGGAGTGAATGGTAATGCGGTCGCAGCTAGCCGTAACAGTAGTCACGTCGTCTCCGGTATGCTTGTACCTGTTGCAGCATTCAGACCAGGTCAGCTACTACGCGTAGCTGTTGAACGCTTACGCAATGATGCCAGAGAGAGCATCGAGATCCATGAAGATGGTTCCGAGCCGTATATGCCCTGAGGCGTTAAGATATGTGTCGAGGATCCATGGGTCCTGAGCCAGCGGGAGTACAACCGAATGGTAGCTCTCGCTCATACGTTTCCCTGTCAGCTTGCGATCTTTGGGTATTTCAGGCTTTCCTGAAGGCTCCGTAGGTTGTTTCCCCTCTGACTGCTGTTGGCGCAAGGCTTCTATCCATGGGGTGCGCACGCGCATCGACGTGAGCTCTCGAAATACGCCATCGGTGCGTCGCGAGGGGCTGCAATGAAGATGTCTTCGACCAATTGAGCCCGCGACTGCTACCGGAGACCTGCAAATGGCGTTTTGGGGCAATGCAGCTTGACTGACGCGCTGAAGCGCGTTGGTGGTGAGGCTCCTCATGTTGCGACGCGAGGTGGAGGTTGCAGGACCCGCGAGCCCGCGAGGAAGCAACAACCCTCAGGGTGCTTGCCGAACCCATCCCTTGGCACCGATAACGATACATCACAATCTCAGAACCCGTCGCTCCACCAATCTCTGCAATGCCAATGTCGCTACCTTCGCCTCCTCCACAGACCGGAGTCTGGTTGGACGATAATGTCGAGATCAATTGAGCTCGGGCGCGCAGTCCTCAGCTCGCCTGCCACTGATCACGAGCTTTGGCTCAGAACATTGATCACCATCTCACCAAAACAGGATGCAACTTACCTCCAGCAGCTAACATCAGCCGAATATCTAGACGCGTTGACGTCGGGTGCTGTATGGGTGAGCCGTGGACATGACATGCACATTGACATGACGCTCAGTCTACGTAATGAGCTTTTGCCTGACAAGCAGTTGCAAGACCTCGCAAATGCGGTTCTTGATGCGCCAGTAAATATACTCGCTCTTGTTTGGGAATGATATTGACAAAACGTAGGTCTGGGATCAGTTGACGTTGGAGCCAACGCATCGAACAGATATCGCAATGGACCCCGGGACAATACGTCTGGACATCAACCACTCCTCAGTCACGAGCATGCAAGAAGGAAAGAAGC